ACATAAAATTAAGATCAAAGATCTAAATAGACAATAGACCTGCAAATTCTATAGAAAAAACTATAGAAAATGGACAATGATAATCGAATTAGTTAAGCCAAACAAACTAGAAACAGCAACAGATCTACGAACCCAATTGCAAGCCAAACGGTGTCTGAATATAAGAAAAGCTGAGCGAGCAAAGGAGAAGAGCAAACTTAAAGAAGTGATTAGCTGTATATTTCCTGGAAGATGCCTGGCGATGCGGGAGTGAAATGGATATATATATAAATCCGAAGAGATCCAAAAAGTTGGTTTCTTTTTTTTTTTTTTTAATGAATTACAATTTAAGGTAGGGAATTTTGACCCAGCCTTAAGAGTTGGGAAGTGGACCTCACAAAGAGATATTTAGTTATTGAGCGACAAAACCAAGTGCAATCCAAAAAGTTCAGTTAGTGTAAGGAAATTATAATATGTTAATTAAAGCAAGTTGAAGCCAATTAGAAAAAGAGGTAGGAGCATATCTTTTTTCCAAGATGCTTTGCAAGTATGTGAACGTAAGATTGTCTGCCACTAAGTCTTAATCGATTCTAAACTCCACAGGTCTTGAATTTATTGGTTTAGTGTTTTATTTAAGTTTTAAAGTTAATAATTAAATAAATTTATTTCTTTAAATATATTAAATTAATATGAGGATTATCTTTTTATAATTATATTAAAAATTTAATTTAAAAACATTTTAATAATCTAAAGCTAAATAAAATAACATTTTAAGTTTTAAATTAAATTTTAATTAAACAAAATAACATTATCTAAAGTTAAAATTTTAATTTTAGTTAAATGTTAAATTTGATCCCTTAACTTAAAAAAAAAAACATATTTTTTATCTCTCAACAATTTTTTGCATTTTTTTATCTCTCAACTCTAACAAATGCACACCATTAATCCTTTGTTAATTTTCGCCGTTAATTTTCGCCGTTAATTTTTTATATTTTTTTTGATAATGTGGAATATAAAATTTAAAAAAATAATGACATGAACAAAACGTTTTGCCATATTCAAACAGAAAATATTTTCTTAGCATCCAAACACCCTTCTAGCCAAACAAATGAAAACCCATTAAGAATTGCTTCTGTTCTTTCCATTTTGAACATTGAAATCATTCAAACGATACTTAAAAAATATGAAAAAAAGAATATCAAAAATCCCT